ATATTAATACCAGGGCAACTTTTATGGGTCTATAAGACAATTAATAACCGTTATCAGAAATAAGTGGTGGTGGTGCTACCAAGTGGTTCCAAGAGCATTTTTGATATTACAGGCCGGTATAATACCCATGATTTATAAAGTGCCCAGCATATCGTAACTAGGGCAATGTAGAAGGGCCCAGGACTTTTGTTTCCTGCTATCAGAACGGGACTGTAGTGGTAACACCAGGTGGTGCCACGTGCGTAGAATACATTTCAAGCAACTTGAACAAACTAATCACTGGGGATATATTGAGGACCCAAGAAATTATCCTTAGTCAACCTTACAAAGGGTCCCAGGGACTGCAAAAGGCTAGTAGGCTAACCTGGACGTTTGGTTTTATATTATATCCCGAGAAACCATTAGAGATGAGCTACCGGTATTCTTTGAAGTGTCCACCAAATGATTATTGGGGCAAGGTAGAGGGGTTCTAGGGCTATCATTTCCCACCTTCAAAATGGGGCTGTAGTGGCACCACCAAGTGGTGCCAAGTGCGTAGGGCATATTTCAAGCATTCATTTATCCTCCATTTCTGGGAACCTGAACCATCTTTCACTGGGGATGGGTTAAGGGTCTTAGGGGGTATCCCCTGTCAAAGTTTCAAAGGGCCCCAGGGGCTGGGAAGGGCCGGTTAGCTAACCTGAACTTTGATGTTTTTTCATCATTGTATGTTGTGAAACGGGAAAAGGCCAGCTATTATACGCCTTATCTTTGAAGTGTTCATCAAATGATTATTGGGGCAAGGTAGAGGGGTCTCAGGGCTATCATTTCCCACCTTCGAAATTGGGCTGTAGTGGCACCACCAAGTGGTGCCAAGTGCGTGGGGCATATTTCAAGCATTCATTTGTCCTCCATTTCTGGGAACCTGAACCATCTTTCACTGGGGATGGGTTAAGGGTCTTAGGGGGTATCCCCTGTCAAAGTTTCAAAGGGCCCCAGGGGCTGGGAAGGGCCGGTTAGCTAACCTGAATTTTGATGTTTTTTTATCATTGTATGTTGTGAAACGGGAAAAGGCCAGTTATTATACGCCTTATCTTTGAAGTGTTCATCAAATGATTATTGGGGCAAGGTAGAGGGGTCCTGGGGCTATCATTTCCCACCTTCAAAATGGGGCTGTAGTGGCTCCACCAAGTGGTGCCGAGTGCGTGGGGCATATTTCAAGCATTCATTTGTCCTCCATTTCTGGGAACCTGAACCATCTTTCACTGGGGATGGGTTAAGGGTCTTAGGGGGTATCCCCTGTCAAAGTTTCAAAGGGCCCCAGGGGCTGGGAAGGGCCGGTTAGCTAACCTGAACTTTGATGTTTTTTCATCCTTGTATATTGGGAAACGGGAAAAGGCCAGCTATTATACGCCTTATCTTTGAAGTGTTCATCAAATGATTATTGGGGCAAGGTAGAGGGGTCCTCTGTCATCCAGTATCGACCACTCCACATAGACATGATTATCTAATGTCACGTATTAGTTCATCATAATCTGCAAACTGAACGCGACAGTTTTCGTAAATTTGTAAACAAAGTAACTAAACGGCAGTTCTATTGTATCCTAGGCTTTTGATAATTATCTCGATTTGTTCAAAGTTTAAAACAATGCAAATAATTTTTTTTTTTACAGAAAATCTGCAATTTTATTATACACCAATCGTGTTTCTCAAAATTATTTAGTACGGATTACTGTCTTGTTCAACCAGGAAGTTGAATCTCGTGACGTATTGTCCAGAGCGTATGCCATTCATCCGAAAAGTTGTGAGTTCGATACCGGTTGGTTGCATATTTATTTATTTATATATTTTTATTTTGGAATTTTTTTTAATTTTCTTGAAACCAAAATGACAAACACTTTAAAAGGTGAAAAGGCTCCAGGAACTTTAAGACTACAAGTATTCTCTTTTTATTATCCATAAGCCTCGACTTTTTTTCACTTAAATTTAAAATTTTATACTAAATATTATTTACAATTTTACATAATAGGATTTCTAGTATTCTCTTTTTCTTTTCCTTTTTTGCATAAGATATTTTTCACTTTAATGGAAAATATTTGCATATGTTTACATGTTAGATAATATGATATAATTTACGAGTTCACATTATAAGTTTAAATTTTGAAAATTCTCATTATCTCTAATAATGCAAAGTTTCGATGTTAAAAGTATGAAACTTTTTGAATTTTACAAATAATTTAACATTTTCAAAACAAGAAGTTGTAGAGACATGGGACCAACTGCATAAGATTCATTGACCTTTGACCTTAAAATTCATGTTAAGGTCAAAGGTCAAGGTCATTCCAAAAATGAGAAAATTAGCTCTTTTTGTATCTCTTTTGTCTTTCAACATATACTTAATGTCTATGCATCATTAATATGTACTCTTAAAACTGTTTCAAAGATTTCATTCTTGTCCCCTAAAATTAAACCTTTTAAAAGTTATTGCCCCTTGTGCGAAAAACCTTGTTATCGCTACTCCTCCAAAACTGTAGACCCTAGAGACTCGAAACCTTTACTAATGTCTTAAGGGTCTTTAGACCTTACTTCATAATATAAGTGCAAAAGATTTTGTTGACCCCTTATATGAGTTATTGCCCTTTAACTTCTTTATACTTACTATTAAACCTTGTATCTTGAAAACTATAAATGGTAGAAGCATGGGATTAATTGCATTGTGACTCTTGAACTTTGACCTCGAATATTTTGTCAAGGTCAAAGGTCAAGGTCATTCAAAAATGAGAAATTAAGCTCTTTTTATATATCTTTTGTCTTTTAACATATGCAATCAATCTTTGCATCATTAATATGTATTCTGCAATCTATTTCAAAGATTTCATTCTTGTTCCCCAAGATTGACGCTATCAAAAGTTATTGCCCCTTATGCGAAAAACATTGTTATCGCTACTACTTCAAAACCGTAGACCGTAAAGACATGAAACCTTCACTAATATCTTGGGGGTCTTTTGGCACACCTTCATTGTATAAGTACTAAAGGATCGAATGACCCCTTATATGAGTTATTGCCCTTTAACTTCTTTATACTTAATATTTAAACTTATAACTATAGAACTAAAATTAGTAGAGGCATGGGGTCAATTGCATTGTGACCCTTGACCTTTGACCTTGAAGATCTGATCAAGGTCAAAGGTCAAGGTCATTTCACAAAAAAAAGATTTTCATTTCCTTTTTTTAAGCCATTTCCCTTAAAATTAAATTAGAGAGTGAAATATAAAACTAAAAAATTTAAAAAAGGTGGAAAGACCTCTTAGTGTTCTGTGAACAATAAGTCTCCTAGTTATAAACTTTTACTTTGACCATATCTTTTGAACAGTAAATACTAGGACATTTATACTTCACAGATGTATTCTTTTTGGAAAGACTTTTCATTTGATACCAACAACATTGACCATGGATATTTCTTTACTTATGAATTAATTTGAACCTTGGCTATAACTTTTGAACAGTATGTGCTTTGTCATGCCTTCAAATATGTCAACCTTGGTCATGACCCTTGAACAGTAAGTGCTAGTCTTTTATATTTCATATTTGTTTTTCTTTTGTAAAGGACTTACTTTAGGTACCAACATATTTGATCTGCATATGAAAAAGGTTAACCTATGCTATGTTGCCATAAGGGGGGATCAGAGTTTCACAAACAGATCTTGTTCTATATAGTTTCTATATCTAACTTCTCGTGTGTTTCTTGTTCTTTTGATTAGGATGATGATGATTTATTCCAATTTTGCAACAATCTGAGTCTCGAATATGGTAACCATTTGAATCCATTACAATTTTCTGAACAGACATATGGACATCCGGATTACAATTTACCCTCCCGCTTTTAAGTCTGTGTGTGGAAGGGGTGGGGGTATAATTAACGCACGATATACTTGAGTATGAGCCAAATAAGAGCACTACCTCAGATTATAGGAACCTCTTTGTAATGGCATTATCAAAGCAAAAATATGCTTAATTGATCACTGTAATTAACTAGAGGTACTGTGAGCAATGAGCTCGTTATGTGATACTGAGTACCCGCGCCTCCCATATGAATATACATGTAAAGGCAATGGCAATGCTTTGCTATGGGAAATCCAAAATATGTGTCGGATCACAAAGTATTTTCACTAAAAATACAATTGTGAAATATGAAATTAGGTCAAGGTTAAATGTTCTGCCTCTGTGCAGAGTGTTTACCAAACCAACAAACCAAAACAATAAGGGCGGATCACTCTTTATTGCATCGATGCTTGTATGTGTATGGTAAAAGACTGAAAATAATAAAGAGACAAAACTTACAAACAGATTCATACAATTCAGTTATACCCAATTAACCTTATTTTACATAGTAAGTGACAAATTATAGACAAACAAGAATGATATCCAAATTTAGTGAACATTTTTCCAATTCAAATTCAATCATAAACTGGCCTATCATAAAAAATTAAAATGCACTCTTAGTAACATGTAGGTTATTTATCACATAAACTGAGAAACGATATAGCGTTTATATACATAGCAGATTTTTACTTAACCATTTACTTTCCAATACACATCGAAATCTATTTCCCTATCTGATCAAAAGTAAACCGTAAAATATAACGTTAGATAATACATAAAAACTTACTTATGGTGCAGGGATGTACCCGTAAGAGTGAAAAATACTTTAAAACAATGCTTGGAACAAGCGAAAATGGCCTCCTAGCCTCATGTACTGATGTAGGAACAACATAAAATATTCTAAAAAACAAACCGTAAAGGGTTACATACCCGGAATAATGATCACAATGTAAAAAGAAAGATAACTCTTACGAGGTATAAATTGTGTAACACTACACTCCCCGCCTGATATGAAATATCACACCCTTACAAGCAAAACAAATGTATATATTATCCTTAACTGAGGATACCTACAATGCACAAAATGTAGTTACTTTAACTCCATACATAAACTAGTCATTCAACTTTTCACAAAACAGTTAGTTATGATTTGACAGCAAAAGCACAATCTGGGTAATTGGTCGCACATATGTTCTCTTTGCTCCATCTTTGAATGTCATAAGTTCGACCTTTCTCACGAGATGATCCTCGCTAGGGAACACACGAGTAACACGACAGAGAGGCCAGAAGTTCCGATGCTGTTCCGCGTCCTTCATAAGGACAATATCTCCTTCTTGAACATTTGGTTTGGTATCGGCCCACTTTCTGCGTTCTTGTAGCGACTGGAGGTACTCCTTGCGCCATCTGTCCCAAAATCTGTTGGCAAGAATTTGGACTATCTTCCACTGAGAGGTGTACATGTCGCGAACATCAAAGTTCATGTGACTTTCAGAGACATTCCCCATTTTTTGGGTAAGTAGAACATTGGGTGTAAGTACCTGAGGCGACTCTGTATCAGTTGCAATAGGAACGATTGGTCTGTTGTTGACAATTGCCGAGACCTCTGCAAGGAACGTGGTGAGTACTTCGTGGGTTAGTTTGACGTGACGATTCTCTTGTAAGATGGCATCAAGGATACGGCGCGTGACCCCTATGAGACGCTCCCAAGTTCCTCCCATATGTGAGGAATGAGGGGGATTAAACCTCCAAACTGTTCCTTTATCCGTGAGTAGGTTATGTATGGGTGCGTCCTCAACATTCACAGAGTTAATACCTAATTCACGCACACTGCCAACAAAATTTGTGCCTCTATCTGAGTAAAACTCCTTGACATCTCCTCTTATGGCATAGAATCGACGTAGAGCGTTCACAAAGGAAGGTGTATTCATCTGTTCTAATACTTCAATGTGCACAGCCCTACAGCACATACAGGTGAACAAAGCTGCCCATCTCTTAGAGTCAGCACTCCCACCACGAGTACGCCTAGTTGTCACACTCCATGGCCCGAAACAGTCCACTCCAACGTAAGTGAATGGGGGTGAGGGTTTCAACCTTATCGCAGGTAGGTCCGCCATCTTCTGAGTAAGAAGTTTCCCACGCCCTCTGCAACAAATCACACACTTGTAAATCAGTGAAGTCACAATACGTTTGGCACCAGTAATCCATAGACCTGCATTGCGGATTGCTCCCTCTGTGATATGGCGCCCTTGATGGTGTGTTAACTCGTGAAAGTGTAGAGCTAACAGCTTAGCAATATGATGACTCCCTGGCACAAGTATGGGACTCCTTTCCCCCAAATCAAAGTCACCATGTTGTAATCGACCTCCGACCCGCACCATGCCTTCTTCATCTAAAGATGGGTTAAGTCTCAAAATGGGACTGTTTCTAGGAAGGGGCCTTTCATTCTTAAGTGCAGTAATTTCCTTCTTGTAGACTTCTAACTGGACGTGATGTATTATAAGCTCCTCTGCCTTCCTAAATGCACTGCTATCTTCTGTAGCTTTAATATCCTTACTGTGATGTGCCACTGCATGGACAATCCGTTTCAGGCACATGATGGCTCTAACGAGATTCTTCCATGAAGAAAACCTCTCAAAGCGTGAAGTCCAGGATAAGGGGGTAGACACATCCACCTTGCAAACCACAGTGTCCTGTTTGATTTCCTTATCCATAGTTGGATCTACCAAATCATATGTTGGGGCAGGACCATCTACAGTATCTTCTGGCGTAGCCATTCTATTGGTCCACTGAGCCATGAGTCATACAGTGCACTGTCGATAGTAGATTTAGTGCCATGGTCTGCTGGGTTCTGGTCCGTAGGGATGTAGTTCCATTGAGATGATTTGGAGAAGCTTAGAATTCTTTGAACTCTGTTGCTTACGTAGGTTAAAAATCTCTTTGTGCGATTGTAAACATAACCCAGAACGATCCTGCTGTCCGTGTAGAATTTGAAATGATCTGCATTGATGTCTAGCTGATCCCTTATAATAGTAGCAATTTCTACTCCCAGGACGGCCGCGCACAACTCTAAGCGTGGTATAGAAGTGGCTGGTCTGGGTGCGACTTTAGATTTACCCATAATGAAACCCAGATTGATGTCTCCACCATGACTGTGAAACAGGTAGGCCACAGCAGCAATAGCAACCTCTGAGGCATCTGTGAAAATCAGTACGTTCCTCTCTTGAAGCTGAGAGAAGCCAATAGGCAGGTACTTACGAGGTACATTCAATGCTCCAAGACGAGTCAGTGATTGGGTCCAATCATCCCATCTGCTCTGGAATTCTTCTGGTAAGGGAGCATCCCAGTCTACAGAAGGTGCCTGTGTCATTTCTCTAAGAAGTAACTTTCCCTGAATAGTGATAGGCGCTATGAAGCCTAGAGGGTCGTACAGGCTATTAACACATGATAAAACTCCTCTTTTAGTGTACGGTTTCTCCTTCCTGCTAAGTTTAAACCCAAAGGCATCCCTCTGAAGATCCCACACGAGTCCTAGACTCCTCTGGGTAGGAAGATCATCATGTGTAATATCTAAGTCAATCAAGTCCTTTGCTAGATCTTTCACATCAAAGCTCTGCATCACTCTAGGGTCATTAGAGGCAATCTTATGTAATCTGAGGTTCCCGTGGGTCAGTAAGGCCTGTTGAGTTCGTCGTAGGAGATCTATGGCTTCTTGTGTTGTTGGTAGGGACACCAGACCATCATCCACGTAAAAGTTCCGCTCCACAAACTCTCTTACATCCTTCCCAAAGCTGTGTTCTGCTTGAATGGCAGCAAGACGAAACCCATAAGTAGCTACAGCAGGTGATGGGGTGTTTCCAAAAACCTGGACTGTCATGCGGTACTCCGTTAGAGGCTTGGTAGGGTCATTGTCTGTGTACCATAAAAATCTTAAGAAGTTCCTATGTTTCTCTGAGACACCAAAGCAGTGGAACATTTGCTCTATATCTGCGGTCACAGCTACAGCTTCCATCCTAAAACGCATCAACACTCCAATGAGACTATTTGTAAGGTCTGGACCTGACAAAAGTACGCTGTTCAGAGACAAGTCCTGGAAGCGAGCTGAAGAGTCGAACACCATGCGAATCTTCTCCGGTTTGAGTGGGTGGTACACCCCGAAAATTGGTAGGTACCAACATTCTTCATTTGGTTTCAGAGGTGGGGCTACCTCTGCGTGATTTCTGTCAAAAATGTTCCTCATGAATTCTAAGGCATGTCCAAGTTTGGTGGGATTTTTTCTCAACGAAGCATCTAAGATCATAGCCCGTCTCATTGCTTGAGTGTAATTATTTGGTAACACAGGCCTGTCATGTTGGAAGGGTAATGGGGCTGTCCATTTTCCATAGGAATCTCTGTGAAACTCCCTGTCCATTATTTCCAGAAACTGGCGGTCCTCAGTCGACATTCCAGGAGTCTCATCATTCACTGTAGTACAGAATATCCCCGTACAAGAACCGACGCCATGTTGATGTTTTTCTTGTGAAATAAGTAACTTGGAATCACAAGGCTCAAGTAGGGTACTACGCCCATTGTCCAACACATGAGTCTTATTCACTACAATGGAATTAGGTCTATGAGCACTACCCAAACACACTTCACCGATAATAGTCCACCCCAAGTAGAGTTTTTGCGCAAACGGCAAGTCTGGGGGCCCAAGTTTTTGTTCGATCACATGATGCGCTTGGATCAGATCCCTTCCTATGAGAAGCAGAATCTCGGCTGTATGATCCAAATCAGGAATTAATGGTGCAATATCCAACAGGTGTTGATATGCAGACGCCACTTCAGGAGTCGGTATTTCCTTACGATTGTTGGGAATCTCGTCACATTCTATAATTTTAGGTAAGTACAACTTCTGTTCAGCTGACACTGGCTCGATGACGAATCCCTCTGCTGTTCTTCCAGAAAATGTAACACTTCCACCACAGGAATTCAACGTGAAAACACAGTCATTGCCCCCTAACCCAAAGTAATCAAAAAACTTGGAACGAGCTAAGGTTCTATTGCTCTGATCGTCTATCATAGCATAAGTTCTAAAGGTAAGATCAGGTCTGTTAGATGGGTATACGTTCACAAGGACAATTTTCCCACAAGATCGGCCAACTCTATCCTTCCCACACAATCGGGTACAAGAGGACGTGATAATGTTTTCATCTCCCTTCCCAGATGGTGATTCCTTAGATGAACTCTCCCCGCCATTCTCTTGCCCAGAGTCTCTATGAAAGTGCATACACGTAACATGGCGGTCGCTTTTACAAACGTCACAACTCACTTTAAGTTTGCACTTGTTGGCCCTATGCTTTCCCTTGCAGCAACGGAAACAGAGTTCCCTACTTTTCAGAAAGTCGCGTTTATTTGGGAATGTCATTGCCAGAAAGGCACGGCATTGTTCCAAGGAATGGTCAGCCTTATGTATAGGGCACCGCATAGAGGATGTTGGCGTTTCGGTACCAACGTCTGACTTCCGGACAAAGACTTTGTTTGTAGGTTCTCTCTTCTTGTCGGATGGATACCTCGTACTAGAAATAAGACCTGGATCATTTTTCAATTCACATATCTCCTGTATGAAACTGACAAATATGCTAAATGGTGGGAATGGAACATGATTCAAACGTTTATACTGAGATGCACGGGTGGCCCATTTATCTTGTACTTGATTGGTGAGTTTACTAACAATAGGCAATATGCCTGAGGAAGTGTCATAGTATCCAAGTAGTCTGGAATATTTTGGGTCCTGCTTGTTGGACTCAATCTCATAAAGCAAGTCAAGTAGATCATAATAACGCTTCGGATCCATCTCTGTAATTTTTGGAAAGTCCTTGAGCTTTGACTTCAACGCTGCCTCCACCATTTCTGGTTTTCCATAGAGGTCTTCTAATCGTGCCCATATCAGGGATAAACCCCTCTCAGGTTGGTGAGTATTTGCTGAACGTATGGATAGAGCGTATCTTTTTGATTCGGGGCCCAGCCATTTTGTCAATAAATCAAGTTCTTCGATTGGTGATGCTTTCAATTCCTTCAGAATATTCAGGAAACCAACTTTCCACACTGTATAGTTTTGCGCCGAGTCATCAAATGCCGAGAAACGATGTAATAGTAAATCCTTTTTCAAAAGGTAGTTACTGAGGTCAACTATAGGTGACTGTTCATGAGGTTGAACATGACTGGCAGTTGGAAAATGAAATCCTGCTTGACTGATGCTTGCAGGTCTCGAACGATGTGAGGCATCATCATGTTGAACATAGCTAGGTGTGATTTCTGAGTGGTTGCTGGCCTGCGAGTTCACATAAGCTTCAGTTCTTTCTCTGGCCGTCCGTTCCACACTTTGTTCTTCAATGTCAAATTGAAAACTTCCTTGAGATCCACGATCGTAATTTTCCATGGCGTTTACTTCTGCGTTTGCCACAGCTGCTGCTTCTTTTTCTTTAGAAAGCCATATATCAATATCGGTAGCTGCCTTTTGTTTTTCCAGAGCCGCCTGCTCTTCCAAGAATTTAAGTCTTGTTTGCTGGGTCTCCGCTTGCACTCGTTTTTTGAGTATTTCTGATATTGTCTTTGAGGCTTGTGATGAAGTCCTGGATTTCACTTCAAACTTTTCCGAGAGTCGTTCGGCTGCCTCTAATAGTTTATTATGTAGGACATCTCGAAATGTGAACACTATATCGGAATATGTGCTATACTGAGACTCATGCTGCTCCAGTTTCTGTAGAGCTTGCTCTGTGCGTGCTCTTCCAAGGAAGTTTGCTAGGGCTTGACTTTCTTTAAGGTACTGTTTGAATTTTGCATTTATGTGATCTTCTGTTGTCCTTAGGTATTTCCTGTCTGTATTGTCACCATCACAATTTGCGATGAGGTCCTCTACCTCCCTCCACGCGCTAGTGCACTTTTCTTGTAGATCAAGGAACGTTTGGTCAAAGGATGCCTGACCCTTCTCTGTAAGAGTCCGAATCCTGGATTGTTTATCATCCTGTTCGTCTTTGACCTGTTGTTTCTCCCCTTCCCCTGTTGCCATCGTCCTACAGGTTGTCCCTGGTCATAATCTTTTACTGTTCTGCCTCTGTGCAGAGTGTTTACCAAACCAACAAACCAAAACAATAAGGGCGGATCACTCTTTATTGCATCAATGCTTGTATGTGTATGGTAAAAGACTGAAAATAATAAAGAGACAAAACTTACAAACAGATTCATACAATTCAGTTATACCCAATTAACCTTATTTTACATAGTAAGTGACAAATTATAGACAAACAAGAATGATATCCAAATTTAGTGAACATTTTTCCAATTTAAATTCAATCATAAACTGGCCTATCATAAAAAATTAAAATGCGCTCTTAGTAACATGTAGGTTATTTATCACATAAACTGAGAAACAATATAGCGTTTATATACATAGCAGATTTTTACTTAACCATTTACTTTCTAATACACATCGAAATCTATTTCCCTATCTGATCAAAAGTAAACCGTAAAATATAATGTTAGATAATACATAAAAACTTACTTATGGTGCAGGGATGTACCCGTAAGAGTGAAAAATACTTTAAAACAATGCTTGGAACAAGCGAAAATGGCCTCCTAGCCTCATGTACATGTAGGAACAACATAAAATATTCTAAAAAACAAACCGTAAAGGGTTACATACCCGGAATAATGATCACAATGTAAAAAGAAAGATAACTCTTACGAGGTATAAATTGTGTAACATAAAGTATGGAAGCCCTAGCCATAACCGTTCAAAAGTTATGGAGAAGGTTAAAGATTTCAAAAAGTAGGTCAAACTCCAAAGTAAAAGGTCTTGGTATGAAATGAAAGGCCTTGTCACAATGAATTAATGTGTACAGTATGAAAGCATTAAGCCTAACCCTTTAAAAGCAATGGCCAAGGTTTACTTTTCAAAGTAGGTCAAACTCCAAGGTCAAAGATCAAAGTTCATGGTATTCAATAAAGGGTCTTTTCAAAAGGAATTCATGTGAAGTGTGATATCTCTAGCCCTTTGTGTTCAAAAGTTATGGCCAAGATTAAAGTTTTCTTATGCGCCCGGATCGAAAGATCCGATGCGTATATTGTCTTTGTCCTGACTATCTATCTGTCTGTTTATCTGTTTGTTTGTCTGCAAACTTTAACCTTCTCTATAACTTTTGAACCATTCAACCTTTGCCATAACTTTTGAACCATGAATGGTTGAGACTTCATGTTTGGTATGCATACAAAACTGATTAAGCTCTTTTGAATGACAACATGGTCCACGACCTTGTGACCTTGACCATGACCTACAGTGTATACGCTAAATATAGCTTTTTGTCGGCAAATTTTAACCTTTCACCATAACTTTTGAACGAAGAAAGATAGAGACGTAATATTTGGCATTTATACTTCGCTAATAAAGCCCTTTTACATGACACCAAGGACAATGATCTTGTGACCATGATTGTGTCCTATATGCTAAATATAGCTTTTTGGAACCATGAGAGATAGAAAGTTATATTTGGTATGCATACTTCACTAATAAAGTTTTTTTTTCAAATGACACCAAGATCAATGACCTTGAGACCTTGACTGTAACCTACATGCTAAACATATGTTTTTTAAAAGTTTGTTGCCGGCAGGAGCATTGTGTTTCACAAACAAATCTTGTTTATAAGTAAAAAAAATTTCTATGGTTAAGGTCTAAAGGTCAAGATAACTGGTATCCAATGAAAGGCCTTGTTACATAAAATACATATGTAAAGTAGGGAAGCTTTATAGTCTTGACCGTTCACAAGTTATGGACATGATTAAAAAATTTAAACAGTTAAAATCCAAGGTCAAGGTCAAAGGGTCAAAGATCTGCTATCAAATGAGAGGTCTTGTCATAAGGACTAAATATGTAAAGAATAAAAGCACCTAACCCTAAAAAATTACGGTTTTATTTTAAAAGTAGGTCAAACTCTAAGGTCAAGGTCAAAAGGTCAATGTTGTTTGTTTCAAATGAAAGGTATTTTCACAAAGAATACATCTGTAAAGTATAATTGTCCTGCTTTCAACTGTTTAAAAGATATAATCAAAATAAAAGTTTATAATTTTTGCGTAAAAGAAGGTAAAACTTAAAGGTCAAGGTGAAAAGGTCAAACTTGGTGGTACATGAAGAAAAGTTTTGTCACACACGTGAAAAATGAAAGTCATCTGTCCATTCAATCAAAAGTTAGGGTCAAGGTTAAGTTTTTGCGGACAATCAGAGAGACAGAGAGAAAGCTAGAGAGATGGACGAAAACGACAAAAACTATATAACCCCAAAACTAAGTTTACGGGGCAAAATAAGAGGAGCAAAATCGCAATATGTAATAAAGATTCTGTGAGGGTCTAATACTTTTAACATCAAAATTTTTCAAACGTAATTAAACTTATGATGTTAACTTCAAAACAATATTATATAATATAATATGTATATCGTACATATGCAAATATTTTCCACATGATGTGTTTGTGAAACACTATGCGCCCGGCGGCAACAAGGTTAAAAAACATATTTTAGCTTATCGGTCACAATAAAGGATACAGTAAAACTCGCTTAGCACGAACACGGATGTTACGAATTCACGGAAATAGCGAAGTCATCTTGGATCCCCATGCAACTATATATATTTCATGAATTTTTTATACGGTTATAACGAATTACGGATATAGCGAAGTAATTTCATAGGTCCAGGTGACTTCGTTATAACCGAGTTTTTATGTATTTATACATAAGCAAATATATTCAATTGAAGCGAAAAAAATTCTTATGCATAAAAGAAAAAGAGAATACTGGTAGTCTTTCATTGTTCCTGTGGATTTTCCACCTTTTAAAGTGTTCATGTCATTTTCGTTGAAGAAAAATTAAAAATGAAAATGCACCCAGCTGGTATTGAACTCACAACCCTTTGCTTGAAAGACATACACTCTAGCCAATACGTCATGAGTTCCAACTTCCTGTTCCCATTCCTGGTTGAACAAGACAGTAATTTGTACTAAATAGTTTTGAGAAAAACGATTGGTATATAATAAAGTTGCAGATTTTCTGTAAAAACAAATTATTTGGATTTAATCTTTGAACAAATCAAATTAATTAATCAGTATTAAAGCCTAGGGTACAATAAAACTGTTACTGTATTTACAAAATTTACGACAAAAATCGCTTTTAGTTTGACAGAATATGTTGAATTTATCGGTGGCATTACATAAGCATTTTCTATGTGAAGTGGTCAATACTGGATGACAGAGGGCCACTCTACCTTGCTCCAATAATCATTTGATGAACACTTCAAGAATAAGGTGTATAATAGCTGCCCTTTTCCCGTTTCTCAATGTACAATGTTGAAAACAGCAAAGTTCCGGTTAGCTAACTGGACCATTCCATCCCCTAGGACCCTGCAGAAATCTGTCGAAGGATACCCCCTAGGGCCCCCTACCCATCCCCAGTATTAGTTTGTTCAGGAGGCCGACAATAAATTAAATATGAATGCTTCAAATATGCCCAACGCACTTGGCACCACTTGGTGGTGCCACTACAGCCCCATTCTGAAAGTGGCAAATGATAGCCCTAGGGCCCCTCAATCTTGCCCCAATAATAATTTGATGAACACTTCAAGGATAAGGCGTATAATAGCTGCCCTTTTCCTGTTTCCAAATGTACAATGATGAAAAACATAGAAGTTCAGGTTAGCTAACTGGCCCCTTTCAGCCCCTAGGACCCTGCAGAAATCTGTCAAGGGATACCCCCTAGGGCCCCCTACCCATCCCCAGTATTAGTTTGTTCAGGAGGCCGACAATAAATTAAATATGAATGCTTCAAATATGCCCCACGCACTTGCCGCCACTTGGTGGTGCCACTACAGCCCCATTCTGAAAGTGGCAAATGATAGCCCTAGGGCCCCTCTACCTTGCCCCAATAATCATTCGATGAACACTTCAAGGATAAGGCGTATAATAGGTGCCCTTTTCCCGTTTCCCAATGTACAATGATGAAAAACAGCAAAGTTCAGGTTAGCTAACTGGCCCCTTCCAATTCCTAGGACCATGCAAAAATCTGTCAAAGAATACCCCCTAGGGCCCCTACTCATCCCCAGTGTTAGTTTGTTCAGGAGGCCGACAATAAATTAAATATGAATGCTGGAAATATGCCCCATGCACTTGCCGCCACTTGGTGGTGCCACTACAGCCCCATTCTGAAAGTGGCAAATGATAGCCCTAGGGCCCCTCTACCTTGCCTCAATAATCATTCGATGAACACTTCAAGGATAAGGCGTATAATAGCTGATCTTTAATGGCGTTTTGGGATAAAATGCAAAACAGCCAAAGTTCAGCGTCGATAACTGGCCCCTTCCGGCCCCTGGGACCTTTTGAAACGTTGACAAGGGATTCTCCCTAAGACCCTTAACTTAATCACCAATAATTGATGACGAATGATTGCTTGAAATATGACCCATGTACTTGGCACCACCTGGTGGTACCACTAAAGCCCATTCTGATAGCAGGAAATAATAATCCTTGGGCCCTTCTATCTTGCCATAGTAATGTTGATCACTTTCTAAATCATGGGTAAAATACCTGCCTGTAATATCAAAAATGCTTTTGAAACCATTTGGTGGCACCACCACCACTTATTACTGATAGTGGTAATTTACAGTCTTATAGATTCACTAAGTTTTCCCAGTAATAATGTTCGAAACATACTTCAACCTAGTTTACACTTGTGCCAATATTTCGGTTTACAATCGTTATATTAATCAAATTTCAGGTTAGCTTATTGGCCCTGTCATAATCTTGAGGTCCTTAAGGAGTTGAAAAGGGAGTTAACCATTTCCTAGTGCTTGTTTGTTCAATTGGATAAAAATTATAAAGTAATTTATTTCTTATTTTTCGGATTAAAAAATGTTCAGGTGAGCCTTACTGCCTCTGAGTATCTGATTTATTATGTAATAAATTGTTGCATTAATTTTCTAATCATTAACCATTAATTATCTAAAATAACGTATTAAAAACAGTACTGCGTCTGAGTACTCTCAGTTCTTTGATGAATTTCCTTATTGGCTGCTAGCTTCTACGCGCTTAGTGGCTGCTGTTATTGGCTGCTAGCTTCAGCCTGGTCTTACCGTGTCATGCAAAACATCAGAGATGGAATCAGGTGCCATAGAGCTCGATTGTTCTTCCAAAATACAATAAAATGAGCCTTACAAACAATGACAATGTAGTTACGTACTTTGTCAGCAGGGACCAGATCGTAGGATCATGTTATCTATTTAATTCTAAATTATTGAATACAGAAGAATAGAATGTTTTCATTTTGCCCCTTAATCTATTAATACTCGATTTGAACATGGAACTGATATATTTAATTGTCAAAATCTTTGATTTCCTATCTGGCCCATCGTCTGACCTAATCTGCAATAAAATCCATAATATTTATGAAATTCCGACGCCCATTAAAGGATCAAGGTTTCCTATATTTAGGATCTTTCAAAACAAGTGATCTGAGGTCTTCATTATAAACTATATTTACGTCACCTATAATAACGTGTCCATCAGGACTACTTGTATAGTTATGGGGGAGAAGAACATAA